ATTATAAGGAATACCCTGCGCTGAGAGGGTCTCTAAAAATATTTTATCAATCGGAGAGATCATCGATGCGGTGGACACACCAATGGGACCGTTACGTCCGTGATATATATCGCTCACATTGGGATCTCTATTGTTTTCAGTTAATTTAAATAAGGGCATTACATCGTTATAGCCCCACCCTGTGGCCCCGTATTGGGTGACAAAATTGTCATAATTTTTACGATTGCCCCTATATTAATATAATTGGCGTTAAAATATTTAATATTAACCCTGAACAGAATGAAATATACAAAATTGTATACCTGTTGTACATCATGAAGTTAACAGTTGAAGAGCCGCCTAATACCCGGCCTTTCAATGAGGTTCGGAATAGTGGTGATCCCTTTCCTACACGACTATCAGGCACGAGATAGTAGGGCCAAAACGCGGGGCCATCAAGGAGTAATGTTTGCTCGTAAACACCTGGGTGATCGTGACTGTAGGCATCTTGTGCACCCCCGGCCTCCAGAAGTAACACATCTTTTCCTTTTTGTGCCAAACGACAGGCTACTATAGCACCGGCAGATCCGGCGCCAACCACCACATAATCATATGAGGCTTTTGTGGGAAGTGGTGTTCGGTAGGCATAATAATCGTGTTGTTGTTGTCTCAGCCATATAATAGTAAATGTCATATAGAGCTGAATCTGTAATAATGGGGGTGTAGGTGTCAGGGCTGGGTTATCCATTAATATAATGTTATATTTATTAAATTATTAATTAGTATATTTTGCTTGTAGTATAAACAATAATAGTTATTTCACACGTTATGTAACACTTCATATCTTTACATCTTATTTAAGAGGAAATAGACTTTTGTTATTTGTATTAGTTTGCATGTAGTATTAATTATTTTGTTTTAGAAAAAAAATTCATTTATAAATTTGGTTTCGGGACTTTTCGAGTATATTTGAAAACATATGCTTTTACAGAAACTGAATATGCTGAATTTATTGATACTTAAATCTATTTACGAAACAATCTAACGTTTAACAGATTTATTTGAGAACATATTACAAATGATGAAAATATTTTTCTAAAATCATTAAATTATAAATACAACTTTTCATAGTGTATATTAATACTGTAATATTATACGGTATAAGTAATATACATTTTTTAATTAATTTAAATTAGTAACTTAATTATCAAATCCTAAGGATTGTCCTGGATAATCATAATGGCACCTTTCTCGCCCACCAGCATCGCCGGTGCATTTGTATTGACATTGATTATCGCCGGATATATGGATGAGTCGACTACTCGTAAATGCTTAACACCTTTCACCCTAAGCCTGGGGCTGACCACAGAGTCTCGCTTGGAGGGTCCACCCATAGCACAGGTGCCCACCGGATGTACGAGTGTTGTACCCAATTGCTCGATGTAACACTTGATATAAGACGTACAATTGTATACCGGGCCAGTGGGACAGTACTGACAATTGGGAATGGGTGNTGGAGAGGCCACCCATAGCACAGGTGCCCACCGGATGTACGAGTGTTGTACCCAATTGCTCGATGTAACACTTGATATAAGACGTACAATTGTATACCGGGCCAGTGGGACAGTACTGACAATTGGGAATGGGTGGCGGCAACTGTACGTACTGTGAGAAACTGGTGGACTCTATGAGACGGAAGGCGTCGGACACGGCCTCAATGAACACCGTTTGGTCGGTCGGCTCCGCCAGATATTGGGGATCAATACGAGGCATGTCCTCAATGTTTGCGGTGTTTAATCGTAATGTACCGCAGCTTTTAGGCCTTACCAAAGTTGGCAGTATAAAAAGTACATCGTGTTGGAAGAGTGCGCCCAGGTATGCCAGCCAGGCCACGTCGCTAATCAATGGTTTAATTATATTGAATTTTGGCGTAACCTTTGTGAGACTGAAGCCACTAGTGGCTGCCATATAAGTTAATATATCCGGATAATCAACATCTCGATTATATTTACTAGAATAAGTGTTTGACACAATTGGAAACTGAGCCAATAGCCCGGTGCCCAATATATTAACTTGGTATTCCTGTGCAATATCAATGGGAGATGCTATTGGGTTGGTTAGTCCACTTCTAGTCAGTGGTATAATCATCATAACTGAGATGTGATTGCAATACTTGTTGCCCACCGGGAGGTTCGCATATATCGGTGATATGCCTTTTGAGGACAGGTGTGCTTTTGGTCCTACACCTGATAGCATCAGAAGTTGCGGCGATGCGATCACACCTTCAGATAAATAAAATAGCTTTTTGTTCAAAAATATAAATTATCACAAAAAATAAATCACTTATTACCTGCTGATAGTATAACCTCTTTGCTGGCATTCACTGTATATGTCATATAGTCTTTGGTAAACCTAACACCATATGCGATAGGCTTTCCACTCGTGTCGGTCTTAATTAAAATCTTATTAACTAAAGCACCGGTAACTATCGTAAGTGAGTCACAAATACCACTTTCCAGGTAACCGTTGGCAGTGGAGGCACGTAAGCCATGATTTACAGTTGATTGAAGCAAATATACTCCAGATTGATTACTACCATTAATGTCATTTAATGGATAGCCCTGTTTTTGGGCCCAGTCTATAAATATTTTCTGAATAGGATGAGGCTGTGCGGGTGTAGACACACCAATAGGACCTCCACGTCCGTGATATGTATTGCTTACTGTGGGGTCGCTGTTATTCTCAGTCATCTTGAAAAGTGGTAAAACATCTTCAGATCCCCAACCCGTGGCCCCGAACTCAGACACCAAGTTGTCGTAGTATTTATAGTTACCCCTGGGTTTACAAATAATAATATATTTAATTCTTTTGCTTATAGTTTTAAAACAAATTTTATGTTAAAATATCACATTTAATAAGCATTACATACCGGGTATAAACCAATGTATTAACAGATGACGAACCTCCTAGTAATTTACCTTTAGCCTCCAGTGACAGTATCGGTGGGAATGCCTTTCCAACCCTTTGCGGTACACTATAATATTTCCATATATAAGGTGGTTGCAGTATACCCAGCTCATAATTAAGTAATGGGGCTAATCCTGGATAATCAATGACTTTGGCGTCCTGTGCACCGCCCGCTTCCAACAGCAACACATCCCGACCCGATTGGGCCAAACGACAGGCCACTATAGCACCGGCAGAACCGGCGCCAACCACCACAAAATCATATGTGGACTTTGGGGGAAGTGGTGTTTTATTGGCATACGTGTCGTGTCGCTGTTGCCTCTGAGATATTATTGACAATACAGTTAACAATTGAACGGTAAGTGGTGGCAATGTCTGCGAATAATTCATCGGGTATTAATTTGTTAAAATAAAAATTATGTTGATACTAGCCTGCTGTTAATTGCAATGTTGTAGGAGTGTAATGTACAAGTGTAGCTTATTTATTTAATAGTCAAAAATACTTTAAAGTATGACATACAAGTGCATTACAAAATAATCTAGCTTTATTGACCAATATTATATATTTAGAAAAATAAATTACTTTTTGAAATAATTACATATGTTTTGCGGTTATTTTAAAACATACTATAATTAATGACCATAAATTGTATTTTAATTTATACCTGTTCATGTAAATAGAGATTCTAGTAACTTACAACATCACGTGAATTCAATTATTTAGCTAGAAATGGATGAATTTCAATAATAATAAAAAATATATTAAACTATTGTTACGGATTGTCCTGGATAATCATAAGAGCACCCTTTTCCCCGACCAACATTGAAGCGGCATTTGTGTTGGCGTTAATTATAGCCGGGTATATGGATGAGTCGACTACCCGTAAATGCTTAACACCTTTTACCCTAAGTCTGGGGTCAACCACTGAGTCTGGTCTGGAGGGGTCGCCCATTGCACAGCTGCCCACCGGATGTAACAGAGTTGTGCCCATTTGCTCGATGAAACACTTGATATAAGACGTACAGGTGTATACCGGGCCAGTGGGACAGTACTCACAGTTGGGAATGGGTTGCGGTACCCGTGCGTACTGCGAGAAACTGGTGGTCTCTACAAATCTGAAAGTGTCGGACACCGCCTGAATGAGCACCTGTTGGTCGGTGGGGTCGGCCAGAAATTGGGGATCAATGTCTCCGTACAGGAGTTACAAACAGCATTTTAATCGCAATGTACCACAACTTTTAGGTCTTACAAGAGTTGGTAGGAAACTGATTACATCGTTTGCATAAAGGCCTACCAAGTATGCCAGATAGGCAATGGTGCTAAACAATGTCCCTATAATATCTAATTGTCGGGTAATTTTTGTAAGATTGAATCCTTTAACCGCTAACACATAGGTTATTATATCTGGATATTCAGTATCTGTATTATATTGACTTGAATAGGTCAGTGTTACAGATGGATACTCGGCCAACAACCCGGTGCCCAAAACGTTAGCCTCATACTCTTGTGTAATATCTGTGGATGATGGCGATGGGTTGGTTAGACCAGTTTGAGTCAATATCATACTATTCAATACAGTGACGTGATTACAATACTTGTTGCCCACCGGGAGGTTTGCAAATACCGGTGAAATGCCTTTAGAGAACAGGTGTGTGACGGGTCCTACACCTGAGAGCATCAGTAGTTGCGGCGATGCGATCGCACCTTCAGTTAAAATGTATTCGTTGTATAAAATGTAGATTAAGTAAAATGTTTACTAAAGTTATTGTTTATTACCGGCCGATAATATAACCTCTTTTGTAGCATTCACTGTATATGTTATAAGATTTTTTGTAAACCTAACTCCATATGCAATAGGCTTTCCATCCGTGTCCGGTCTAATCAGGATTTTGTTAACTAAAGCACCAGTAACTATGGTAAGAGAGTTGCAAATACCACTTTCCAGGTAACCGTTGGAAGTGGAGGCACGTAAACCATGTTTAATGGTTGACTGAACCAAATATACCCCGGGCTGATTGGCACCATTGATGTCATTTAATGGATAGCCCTGTGTTTGGGCCCAATCTATGAATATTTTCTGAATGGGAGCGGGCTGTGCGGGAGTGGACACACCTATAGGACCTCCACGTCCGTGATAGTCCTCGCTGACAGTCGGGTCGCTGTTATTCTCAGTCATCTTAAAAAGTGGTAAGACATCTTTAGATCCCCAACCCGTGGCCCCGAACTCAGACACCAAGTTGTCGTAGTATTTATAGTTACCCCTGGGTTTACAAATAATATCACAGATTTGCCAGTTCAAGAAATACCTAGGTAGATATT